ACGCCGGCATGAACTGTGTTCAAAATGTCATTAATTAGTTGGTTAATAAATTTTATTAAGAGGGATTAAGAGCTCATTAACGCTGAACACTAGTGGACAGTTCTTGATTGACTACTTTTAAACAGACTATAGTTTTAAGATCAATCAAAGGATTAACAGTCTGCCGGCTAAGTGGGAACACGCCAAACAGATCTACTTGTACTAGCTTCTATAGAATTAATGAATCAAGGTGCGTGTGTTTATTTTGGGTGTGATTGAATTAACGAAGCGGTTTTTTGGGGTGGAAATAGTCTACACACCATAAAAGTACCACCATTACTTCGAACGTCCCGGGTTTAAACAGACGTCAGAAATGTGTAACAGTATATGGCAAAATGTTAAATTGTTCAGTTTAATGTTGGGCCATAGTTTCGATTGATGTGTATGGCAGCGTGGAGCGGAAGGTGGGGCGTACATAAAGTGTAGCAAAATATATAATGGTTTTGTCTGGAAATAAATAATAAACTGGAGGTGTAATGGGTGTTTTCCCACTTCCCTTACCAGAGCTGCAATTTACATAATAACCAAATTGGTTAAATCTAGTCTTACCTTGAATTTTAGGAGCACTTTTGTTCCCATCACACTGCTTGATCCGGCAATCATAATCCGATCGTGGTAACGTTTTGAGTTCCTCGATGCCCCTAATTTTACGAAGGTGGTAGGGAGTATATTTGTAAAACGAAGACTGAGCGGTGTAAGTACTGTCGAGAGTAAACAAACCGAGAAACTAAGACAAGCCATATGTCGTTATATTTATATATAATATATATACCTAGATACGTATAAATAATTAATTATAATCTTAACCTAATAATGACACATTCTATGATTCCATTGATCTTAATTAAAAGCCAGGGGCCGTGGTGGCTCAGTGAGTAAGACGTTGGCTTGCTATTAAGCTTGAGGCCCCGTGATCGACCCTTTTTTCAGTGGTGCGGGACTGAAGGCCTGGCAAAGTACAACGTATAGTTCCTTGCCAGGCCTTTCGTCCTGCTCCACTGCCAAGGGGAAACAACACTATACAGCGCTAACAAATCGCGAGCAACATTCTCGGCTAACATCGGAAGCGAATCCTAGACCCGGTTAGCGAGTCCGCGCCCTACCACTGAGCCACCGAAATTAGAAATACTCGGGGAACAATTCTATCGAATACACTGGGGCGGATTGGGCCATCGGGCGATCGCCCGAAGTGCCGGTCGGACAAAAAATGATAAAAATAATTTTGTCCAATTCGTCTAAAAAAAAACTTTTTCTGCTGAACATTTATGGCGGTGGGGGTATTGGACCGGCCATGGAGCGATGATGATCATGGAGTCCGGAATGTGCTGGTATGATAGAATTTCTGGGCCAGGTGTGCTGTTGGCCGGAGGAATCAACTAGGCTAGGCTCCCGGCAACAAAAATAGGACATTTTTCAATGAAAATATTCCTACTTATTCAATATTCCTAACTGGTTAATCAAATGGTCAAATTTTTCTCAACTAGTCCCATTTTTTAACCAGTTAAATTCTTTTGACTATTGACGATACAATGATAATACGTTAATTAATAATGACGATATGATAATTTCACAGGTTGATGGTTGTAAATTACTTGCAGGTCGTTGTTTTGGCCTAAATTAATCGATTTTTGAGATGTATTATTTGACAGAGATTATAGTCAGATATGCCACCAAATCGCATATTTTGGGTTCATTTTTCAAAATTTTCACGGTCGAGAGACCCCGGCCCCTCGTCCGGACTCCGCGGTCAGTAAAAGGGGCCGCTTCGACACGGGGGCCCGGGCCGGTTCCCGGCCCCAATCCGCCCCTGCACAGTTACGCCAGTCTTTATCAAGGAATGATATCATGATATATGTATGTCCATTGATCCTGGGTTTGAATTGAGTTTGAAAAATCTTGAGAAGAATTTCGGGATTTTTCAAGCCTGGGGAAGCGCATTCATTTTTGCATTTATGTATTTCCTTCATTCATCTAATGTTCAATGTATTATGTTAAAAATAATTATTTAAATTTCTATCGCTTTGTTTTAATACCAATTAGATCTGAGGCCATTAATCTTATGTTTGGTAATCGACGGTTGACAGCCGACACAATAATAGTTTTAATGCGTTAATTCGATTATTTGTAATTATTTTCTTTTATATTTTTATTGTAACCTATATTTGTTAATTGGAAATTTAATTTTAATCCTTAGATACAGTTTCTTTGAATATCGGATTTTACATCCATTTCACCCGCTCTTCTCCCGACAGAGAATTTTAATATCGTATTAAAGTGTCATTTCTACCTACAATAACTTTTTTTTATGTTTTCACCTTCACCAACATGTCTATAATGTCATAATTAATAATGAGACGTTAAAATTGTAATAAACAACAACAACATCCATTCGTCATTCTAGGTTTTATTCCGTTTCTAGGATAGGTACTCTTTTTGTGTATTACAGATATATTATCCAAGATTTAGATAAAGAGCTAGTCGTCCTTGCTATAATTAATTCAAAAATAGATAATGAAAAATGAATATATTATCGGAATTTCATTCAAATTACTTTATTCTAGGCGAAGTTATGACTGTTCAAAGGATAATTATCGTAAATCGTTATTTTCGTAGTAACGGAACTTGACAACCGAGGCTATTAATCTTGATTATCCATTTCAATTTTTTTTTTTTTAAATCTCGCGGGTGTTCAAAGCCATTTAAATCTCGGCCTTCCGATGCCTATAGAGTGTTGATTTTTGACTTATGTGAATAAATGTCTAAATATTAGAAAAAATACCTGCAATAGACCGATTTAGTTTCACATATTGCATCTTTAAACTGTTTGAAAGGATAATCCCGTGTATATTTGTTACAGGAGATTCTCACTTCTACAATGTGCCTACTGTTTATTATGTTTTGTTTTTTTCGGCTTTCAAACCCAATTTTTAGATTTTATGGCAATACATTAATTTGTATGAAAAATCGGTCGCAAATTGGACGTTATGATTCTAATAATTAAATTTAGTTATCCTTTTAAAAAAAAATATCTCTGACACTGGCTAGTTTATACAATCGATTGTATATTTTTGTCTCTGTGGCATCATACCCATGGCAAATTAAAAAGTGTATTTTTAGACAACTGAAAAATTGTTTATATGGCAGAGTTATATGTGTTACTTTCAATTAATTTTGAATGGGTTTGGGTGAAATTTGGTTTTTAGAGAGAGAGAGATTTCAATATTTCGCTTGCACGCAGGGGTCTTTAGCAGTGGAAAGGACCCGGAGAAAACCCACGAGGTTGGACAGGCGACCCTACTCCTTGTCACATACAACCGGGAAATTAAAACCATGGCAATTCATTCAATGACAGGCCTTATGATACAACGCGCAGACTCTAACCATTCAGCCATCCAAACCCCCACCCCACTGGAGTATTAGCATAAACGATTGCAACTGGAATGAAAGTGGGGTTTAGCAATAAAGAAGTTCTGTGATCCCAGGACCACCTGGTTGTTATTTATTAAACGTTTTATTACATGATGCCCAGAAACTTAAAGAAGTTTAATATTAAATCTAAATAGAGTCCGACAACAATGTCAATTCAATCCAATCTGATTAAAATACAGATCTATATTTCGTTTCGTTTTTTTTTATATTTTCGATGGCCTACACTACATTAAGATTAGAAAAGTTGTACTATAAGGTTGTGTCAGGGGGCGTACGAGCGGCTTTTGACCCTATGACGTCGGACATTGATTAATCAATCAGTGTTGGCGTTTCTAGTAGTTTACCCACATTTCCGTGCATGGCACGCCAGAAGTCGCCGTAACAGAATGTTTCATTGGCTTATCCCCCACTTAAATCAAAACGCCAACAATATAACAACTCTTCCAGATCCTAGTGTAGTAAAGACAAGTAAAACGAAATTGTGAACTATAAAAAACGAAACGAAATAGGATCTGTGTTTTAATCAGATTGTATTCAATCAAGTAATATTGCATACAGGATGGTATATCTAAATAGATTTGTACTTGGCGAATATCCAGAGGATATTTTCTCATTGGGCCTATCTGAAATACAGATATTCACAGTTAGCTGATTTGGCTAGAAAAGAAGCTTTTGTTTTTTAACTCTTAGCAGACCACATTCTGTATTTTGATTTCAGATTTTCAATTGAGAATAGCTAAAAAATTGACTGTTTGTTCATTTTCTGTGTACATCTGGAATAAGACAAGTGATTGCTTCCTCTGGTTTCATAATGTAGTTATTCAAATTATAGCATTTATGTTCGACCCAGTTATGGTGAATATTCATGATTTTGAAGTAAACAGTCATGAATTAGGTAAATTACATACAAAAATGAATTTAGAGCCTATAGATTCTATTGACCGGCATAGCCACCATAGCAAAAACATGAGATGTTAATCCCCCTTCCAATATTTTTATCAGATGATTGCCACACATTGACCTCTCTGTGGTTATAAAGATAAAGATCATCTAAATAATCAAAAAAAGTTATAGGCCAAGAAATGTTATAGATTTAAAGGAACTAAATCGCTATTCTTTGGCGTCTAAAATATTGAATACCAGAAGCCCATCTTTTCACGGTAAGATAATAACATCAATGTTGATTTAAATTCACCAATAAGTCGTGTTTGCAATGTCGAAGACTGTGGATGATATTGAGTTAAAGACTTAGCTACTTTAACATTGAATTCAATGAGGAGAGAATTACTAGTCTGAGTCCAAAAGTTTGACCTGCAATTAAATAGAGTTTGCTCCCTTACATTGCAAGGCGGCTATTTTTATTTTATCTTTGATTTTTGATCTCCTCATTGGATTTTTTTCAACATTCTATTTCCGTATTATTTACGTGGATTTTATGTGCATCAGTGCTATTAATAACTTAAAGACAAACTGCTCTTTTTTTCTAAAACCAAATAAATTGACAAAAATATAACAACATATTTATTTTTATTCAACAAGGTATCACATTTGGATAATAAATTCTTTGTTCAACTCTGAAACCACCCAATCACAATTCTGGTTTAATACCAACAGCCGTTCCTTTAAATTTGAAGGCAATGTCTTTCAATTTCCGTCCTACTGAACCATTTTTACCATCATCATCAAACTCTGCAGACAATTCACGAAAAGTCATGGCAAGACGTCGACTCTTAATATCATTTCGATGAATTGCATGTTTCCATTTATGTCTCGCAGCAGCCTCAACAACAACTAAAGACCTCTGATTTAATTTTACATGGATTTCTAAATCAGGCTTTTCAGTATGTGTAAAACGCAAAATGGTGTCAGATAATAAATTAATAGTTACAAGTCGTTCACCCCACAACCAAAAATCATCAAAGTGAGGATCTATTGCTGATCCTCTTTCAGGCACGTATTCTAAATTACATAATTCTACAGGTATAAAATCTGCCATCCCAAGTACGGTTGTTAATTGTTTATATAACGGTTGACTGTAATCAGGCAGACCTGTAAATACTTCACATTTCACCTTCTTTTTCTTAAAATTAACCTTTGGTCCATAATCCTAAAATACAAACATAAACATTCAGATTTTCATGTACCTACAAACAATTTTATAATACAAAACACAAAGGATTAAATGATTTTACACACAATTATTGTAAATGTGTCTCCAAAATATATTCAAATTCAAATATTTAAAAATTATTAAGAATGGATAAATAAGAATGAATGAATATATAAATATTATATACAGGCCTGTGAAAATAATTTTATCATACCAGACAAAATATTTGGCACTGAAGACTAGTACTTGACATTTACTACTTTTATTGCTTATGACTGTATTGTGTATGTCGGGATGCCTGTCTTTGATTAGCCCAGTCGGAGCAGAACAGAAGGAAGTTAAACCCCATTACATTTCATATTGGTTATGAGCAGTATAGTTACTGAAATTATCTGATGACTGATGAGTAGGTGTTTATTTTGTTTAAAGATACATTATGAGACATTAGATAAAGAGCTGGCAGTTCTCACTCTAATAGTTAAAACTAGATAATGTAAAGGGAATTTGCTGAAAATTTCAGTCAAATTGATCCACCATGAACCGAGTATTTAGCGATTGAATTTTTGGCCTAGCCTTGATCATCATAACTAAAGTCAAAACATAGTCACGATTATCCATTTCATGATTAAATCATGAATAAAAGTTGAGCAGCAAATCGGATCCTAATTCAGTAAATATCGCACTAGCAATGACATCGAGGGTTGATTATGGTCTAGATAAGTTAATTAATGTCTTATTAATAATTTAGATAACATTTCAGGTCTAAAGAAAGACCTGCAATAGGCAGATTTAGCTCTTGCATAATGTATGTTTAAATATATACCTGTTTTCTTCGTCCTGATTGAGAATCAACAAAAGGTGTACTGTCTATCTGCCTACATAAATCCCTCTCCTGTTCTTCTGTAATAAATTCTTCCTGCAGATAAATACCAGGAAATTCTATAGAACTACCGCCATGATCAGGATGCTGTCCATACTCCCACGCTGATCTACACTGTTGACAATATTCATAAATCTAAAATAGAAAGAAATATCATTAAAGGGACATACATGTATGCAGATATATCTTCTTTGGCTTTTCTATAGGGGAGCCATGCTGGCTCAGTCAGTAAGACGTTTGCTCGCTAACCTGGAGGTTCTGTGTTCGATCCCTGTGTTCACTGAGAAAGTTCACTGGGATTTTCTGGCGTAGTCCCCCCTTGTCAGTGGTGCAGAATGAAGGGCCTGGCAAGGGGAGAGAGAGAGAGAATTGGGGTTTAACATCCACTCGACACAAACTAGGTCATTTTGGGACTAACATATGGTTTTAATTTTATTTCAATAATTCGCTTGCGCATAAGAGTCTTTAGCAGTGGGAGGAAACCAGAGGACCCGGAGAAAACCCACAAGGTTGGACGCCTGGCAAGGGACAATGTATAGTCTTCAGATGGGACAAAAAAACAAGGTTCAGAGTACACATGGGTGTGCCCATAAAATAAAAACGTAGGCCTTAGTGCTCCTGTCCAGGCAAAATTTACCACAAAGCATAGCACACTGTATGACAAATGTCGCTATTCATTAGCCTACATGTAGTAAGAGCCGCGCAGTAGGGCATTATAGCCCATTTCATTTCATTTCATATTCTATAGCTGTTGGGGTTGCTGTAGTCAAGCGGACTCTTCAAGTCTGTAAATAATGAACATATGTCACAGTCACACACAACCTTTCTGAGACTACCGGTAATGGCTCCATGTGTCTACATGTACTATACATTAGCTTCAGCTTCTGAAATCCAAATCATTGCTCTAGATAGCCATGCTGCAACCAGAAGATTAGGCTACATATTATTATGATTTATATTTATAACAGTGCAACTCCATTCTTCTGAACAATTTTTTTTTTTTTTCTATTCTACTACATTATTTTTACCAATGTCACTGAAATTTGTGAATTAAGTGTTGCAACAATAATCTTTTGGCAACATACTGAGACACAGTCAGTCACACTCACACTTTGCTACATGAAATTATTGTGAAATACCGAAGAAAACCCATGACATGACCATCATGAATGACTTAAACTGGAGCAATTTTCCAGATTCATAAACACTCAACTACATTTAGAAATAAAAGTTCCCTCTCTTAATTCAATTATTTCAATAATAACACATAAATTTTGTAAATTATGCATTAGCTGGAGTCAGGCAATCCACACAACATAGTAATAAATAAGCACCTCCAAAGGTTTAGATTCCGTTGTTAGATCTGTTGCTGTGTCCACAGTTTCACATAACAGACAACTTCGGATGCCCTTACATCCGCAAAGCTTGTCTTTGGCATAATATTTTACATTGTTTTCCTCATTCATTTTACAACGTGGTGTTTACTTATAAATCATACATGTATGTACTAAAAAATTGTCAACATGAACTTCACAATATATTGCAATATTGTGCAACGTAAAGACCTGAGAAGTCAACTTATTATAGAAACATATTGTAAAATTTAAAAAAAACAGGGATTTTCTGAAACGACATACATGGTTGCATTTATTTACCAATTTAGTGTTTATTCATTTGTATACAAATTTAGGCAGAAATGGAATAAATTGATCTTAAATAAAGCACACCGGAGACATGCAATTGTTCACAAGTATTTATGTTTATTTGCGTTTCGTGTTAGAAATAACCCAGTTCTACTTTTTAATCGACCAGTCAAAGAGTGCGGGAAATATGTTGTGAATAATAAGTGAATGATTGTCACGGAACAAGATAACGGTTTATTTATTGTAACGCCTAGCGGAAAAATAACGGTTATTATTTACTGTTATAAAAAACTTATACACCTTTTGGTATGTTTTTAATAGAAGAAAACGGGAGGCATAGTCTACATAGCTTTCTTTGAAAACTGAGATAACAACCCCTGCTGCCCTGCATGATTCGAATGCTGCAATGGCTTTACCTTCTATTACCTCAACCGAACATGATATAAATATTATCTAGTAGCCTTCTTCTTCTAGTAGTAGATCTAACAACACTAAAACAAAGATTTCATTTTACTAGAATAGATCATGTTAACGTTGATGAAGCAATAGTGTGCGTATAACATATCATATAGCCCAATCAGACTCAGATTCAGAAATAAACTGTTTTTTGTGGGTTTTTTTTTTATTTTATTTTAATGTTCGTTTCATTTGGAAATACTGCAGCCTAACACTGTAACACTATTGAAGTAGCTAATCTGTTCCTAAAAGTGACTTTAGCTAGACTTCAAGAATCAAAGGGAACAAAGGGAAAATAAAGAACTGCTTTTCAATAGATTGAATCAGACTGGATAATAAAACCTTTATGCTTTATGATAAATGAATATTTTCTGTTTTATAGTAAATTAGTATTATTATATATTATAGTGGCAGACATGACATCCCATGGAAATAAAAGAAAAATAGAAGATAAAGAAAAACTGGTGAGCAAAAATTAAACAGAATGTTGGTTAATGCGGTACGTAGCACGTTTTACCCAAATCTACCAAAATCCACCATTATTTCAACTCATATGATGATAATTTATATCTATATTTGATAATACATACTGTTCTTTATGCTAAATTGGCATATAAAATTAAAAATGACAATTTGGCATAAAGAACGGTTAATTATCAAATATTGATATAAATTATTGTCTTTTAAGTTGAAATAGTGGTAGATTTGGGTGGATTTGGGTAAATTGTGCTACCTGTGTAACACAATATTTTGGCAATTTTCAGACAAACATATTAACTGTTTATCTTTGGTATGCAATACATGTAGGAGATATTTGCTCAGACAGAAGGGTCTCTGCCCACTTTACTTCTATATTTCCAACTGTACAGAGTTCTCTTACATGTATATCAATGTGTACACGCACACGGTTGGACCTCTTTTCATCAGAACCCCTGGGCACATTTTCTTTGTCAGTTTCGGTTGTGCTATGCCTGACAAGTTAAGGCCAAGTTTGAAAAATCATGGTAGTTCAGGATCTTTTCGGCCCACACCTGGGACATCATTTAAGAGTTCAGTTCCCTAACTGTTTGACTACGTGTACCCTGACCCCAGTTAGGAAAAAGCTGAAGTGTTCTTCATCATTACACAAGCTTTGCAATGTCAAACTTTTTTGTTTCAAACATTAATATAAGAAAATGAAAATGTAATTTATCATACGCTAGGACCTAATCAAAAATAATAATCTTATTTAGAACAGAGGTATTAAATATATTATTAAAGATGGGTTCCCGCGTACAAACTGGGTGATTTAATGGTATATATGGACCAAAAACATATTCAAACTAATTAATTTGTCATAGTTATGCTTCAAATCCTTCTCAAACATTTTAATTGCGAAGGAATGCCCTGCTATTAAAATTGATCAAACCAGGTCATGTTTACGTCACGTCTTGGGAGTCGGAGGAGAATTCATTGCATACATAAGACGATGTTGTCTTTAATCGCTTACTATTTATTACAAATATCGAATCCTAATTAAATTATCGGATTATCCACTACCCGCGTCTTTTTCCGTCATTTTTATCTCAGAATGTATTCTACGTCTAACTCTTCATAAAGTTTATCAACTTGTACATCAAGCGCTCAATGTTCGCTTGTGACCTTTGACATCACGCGTGCAGAAGTTCCTAATAGTCGGGCTGTTGATCAGGGGAACCCTTACATTTTTGTCCTGTATACACTCCATGAGTGTTTTTCGGGAAATCCAGTATTTTTCTAGTAAGATTGGATATCTCTACTTTCCATATATACCAAAATTGCCATACTTTTATTGGAAATAAATACTTTTCTGGGAACCCATCTTTAAATAAAATTTAAAAACTAAATATTCTTTTTTTTGGCATGGTATGTTCTGTACTGAACTGTGATTTAAATAATTTTTTTAGCCTCCATTACCAGACTATGAACCAACAGCTTTTTTAAGATGTCATTCTTCTGAAAACGACCCTAATGATAATTTATCTAAGGTATGGCGGTCAGCTTTTGAACCAAGTCTTCAAAATCCAGGTAAAGATTTTATTAAAAATGAACAGGCCTAACTTTAATCCTATATTTAGGCCAGGTATCTGATAAAAAGCTAAACTTGTAGTATGAATAGGTACATGTTTTGTCTAGTACTGCTACATTTAAGATGGGGGAGAGTCTAGGGCAATTGTGCCATCCCACACAAAATTTCTCAAATGAATAAAACAAGAATGGAACAAATTTCCAGTGGAGCATGACCCCACACTCCCAATTTGGTGCTCGACATCTGTATATGACTTGTCATTTGCAGGATTTGACAATGTGTAAGAACTGATTGACTCTTGCACTGACTTGCACTAACCTTATGATATTTAACCTGATTCTTTTGATGATGTGTTTCAGGGGAATCAACTTATATTTTAGCATCATGTGGATCAAAGATTGTTAATTTAATAGATTGTCAGACAGGGAAAGTTATGAAAAGATATAATGATCCAGATATTAATGAGGTAAATAAAATGTATATAACAAGGCCATAGAAAAACAATATTCTGTTTCTCAGACAATTATTCCTGTAAGTATGATATGGTAGTTATATGTTTGTGTTGTTTTCTGTCAAAAGATCTCTACTGGGCTAAATGACTTCCCATAAACATCACCTTTTAAGACATAACATTTATCTCATCATTTTGTTGAATGTATGATTCTCCAGTATCATTTATGATTATCAATAATATTTACCAGGGTTGCATTTCATTCAAATTTTTACTTCCTGTAACCAGGGGAAATATTTACTACAGCTCTTTTTAAGTGACGTGAGGAGTGTCTGAGAACCAAAATATTTTTTTTATATGGCCTAATATTCATCTGAATCTCAACCTTAATAAATCTGTTTCCTTTGATCCATAAAATTTATTAAAAATAAAATCACAATTTTAATTTGAGGATCATTGCCAACACATTAGTTAGTCCTCTTCATTCCTTGTGGAACATAGGGCTGCAACAGTCTTCTTCCATCTCACTCTATTTTGGGCTGTTATTTTTACCTCATTCCAGGTTTTGCCAATACTTTCTAGTTCTTTGAATGCCAATGCATTACTTGCCAGATAAGTCTATCTGAGAATCTTACTTTTATCCTTAATTATTTTCTTTTCCAGTCATTTTACACATTAGCATGGAGTACATTACCAATTCAAGGGAAAACATCAAAGTGTAATATTCTAGCAGTAGCTGGTAAAGTTAATTTTATTTCAATGTTGATATTATGAAAATAAAACCTTTTCTGATATGTTTATACTTTATAAAGGTAGTCAATAACTTTATCACATAAATAATCCTGCTAGAGAGCTACCAATGAACATTCTTATAAAATAAAATAACAATGTTTTTAGCATCTATAGGAATATTATGATACCATACTACATTGTGGTCTTGTGCTGAATTAAGATATGCATTTTTTATAATATTTTCTTTTAGAATACAGCATAATGTCTTGTTTATTTTGAAATTATTAGGAGAAGGATGTCGTGTTAAGCTTCTATATCCCACACAGTTAGTGATGTATTCAACTTTAACATATCATAAAAAATATATCAGTTGTCTTCTATTTCATTCTACAAAACCAAATTATCTCTTCAGTAAGTACCCTTTAGATCTTGCATACTCTGATTCAGTTAGGTCGTATATTGTTTTCACCATATTGTTTGTCAATCCTATTAATTTTCAAGATTCTAATAATTGCTTTTGGAGGCATTGCCTTTGATCACTTTAACAAATCTTGTGTTGGCTCTAGGGGCCTGAAACTTTTAAAAGTTTATATTTTTCAATATATCCAAATTTCTCTTAATTGTTAAAAATGCATTTTATCCATTTTAAAATTAAATCATTAACTGCCAATCGTATTTAAATCTGTTGAAAATCAAAACCATCCAAAGTTCTAGAGATGTAATTATGGGCTTGTCATGTAAATAAATGTCTAATTAATAATTTATATAACATGTGAGGTCAAACGAAAGATCTGCATTAGACAGAATTAGCTTTTGAATAATGCATCTTTAAGCAAATATGGCACACATTCCCATAATAGAGAAACATTTTGGCCGATATGACTCTCTATAATTTTCTTACAAATGTCAATAACAGATCTACCGTATACATGTACATGGGTCACAATTCTATAGAATACAATTACTGCTTATTACTGAGTGACATTTCGACTAAGCTTCTCTTGTCTTCATCAAGCAATGATAAAATATTAAATGTAACCTGATAATTCTCAACCAAAATGAGAACCCTACGACAATTTCTTCAATATTTTAGAATCAAGGTCAAGAAGGAGCATGTTTATGATATGTGTATATTAACAACTAGAAGACTAATCATTTTTGAAAACGGGTGTTTTGCTATTCATCTCCCTTCAATTGTATGTCTGATATACATGTAGGTATCTAACCCCTCGGTCTTTATTATTTCGTGTAACAACCTTGTAGAGATCTATCTATATCTATTTCATTTTTAAAGATTATATATGTACATTAATTTATATTTCTATAATAAAGGTGGATCAAGAGATGGTTGGATTGTATTATGGGATATTGGTATACCAGATATAACATTACAAACCAAAAACAACAATAGGTAATGTGCTCAATTTAACCATAAAATATTAATTACAGCTCACAACTCTTACAGATATAGCCCGTTCAGAGTCTGTTTGCCCCTTTATATTCGGTAAAAATGCCTGATAATAATAGGAAAAGTTTTGACATAGGAACACTGGTTCAGACGCTTATATTTAAACTAGTTATAAATCGCTGGGGATTTTAAGATAGGATAGTGTTTGACTATTTTGACCTCATTGATTAAAGGTTAATTATGCATTGGCACATGTCATTTTTCAAGGAAGATAGCTTACTGTGCATGTCTAAGGCAAGCTGAAGCTGGCAATTTTAAGCCAACACGTTCAGTCGGCCAAGATAAGACAGCTTTAACGAAAGCTTTTCTAAACTGGTTTATTTACCCCATCTTTGTGTTCAGACGCACACGTTAAACTGGTTAAATGATCGCATTAAACTGGTTCAACGATCGCTGGGGATTTTAAGCCAGTTTGGTTAGCATGCCTGAACAGGTTATTAGGTGCCAGATTATTTTGCACCCTAGTTTCGCCTAATAGTAGTCCCATCCCTGCTTACATGTACATGTCTATGTCTTGTTTTCCCTAATATTTTTTACTATAGATATACAAATTCAATTCATTATTTAAACATGTTAAAATGATTTGATGCTACTTTTCATTACGTTACAGTCCTTTACTAAGGTTCGCATTACCAGATATAAATTCAGATGCTCTCAATTTAGCGTATAGTTCAGCACAGAATATTCTTATCGCAGCCTGTGAAAATGGTTGTATAGGATGGAAACTTGATGACATGAATAAACAAACCAAAAAAAGAAATAGAATTATTAGGTAGAGTATGAATTACTAGATAAGCAGCAGAGCATGCCGAAAAAAATTGTATACATGTATGGCTAAAGTAATTTAAACATACATTATGCAAGAGCTAAATCTGCCTATTGCAGGTCTTTCTTTAGGCCCGAAATGTTATATAAACTATTAATTAGATATTTATTAACAAAACAAGAGCGTAATTAACTCTCGATGGCATCGGATACTCAAGATTTTAACTAGATTAGAATGGTTCACCATTTAAATATTTGATTTAAAAATGGGAAAGTGAGGCCAAGTCTCAAATATACCAGTGCTCAGGTTACCACAATGCGCACATCTTGTCAAAACTACAAACAGTGATAACTTGGCTAAGAATGAAGTAATTTGAATGGAAATTTTCAATATTTTCATTTTACATCATCTATTTTTGAGCTATTATAGCAAGAATGATTAGCTCTTTATTTAAATCTTACATAATGTATCTTTAATTATTAATTCTTTGTTGTCTTAATAAATAAGCTTGAGAACAATGTTTTGTTTAGAATTTCCTTAAAATTTGGACTTAAAAGCTTTTGAGAACCAAGATCATGATGAATTTTCTTGGCCAACAATGGGGTCGAAACGGGGCCTCCAGGTTAGCATGTCAACATCTTACTCACTGAGTCACTGCAGTTCCCTGAAAAAATCCAATAATCAGCTGTCATTGACTCATTAATCAGTATTGGTGATAACATTATTTAGCAAATCATGTTTTATTTATGAAGATGGCCATATATTATTTGTGTATTTTTTCAGCCAGACAGATTATATATTTGTTAAATCGGATGTAAAACAAACTATAGATGGATTGATCATGTTAACAGATGATATAATAGGTAATATTATAAAATTAAATATTTGGTATTTTTGGTTGGAATTCCAGTTCTGATTGAACCCTCGGGGATTTTGTATGGTAGGCATACACAATACACTGTACAATAAGCATTGAAATCATCTCATGATTAACCAATTGTCACAAATTTATCAAACTCCAGGATTGGTTAGCTTGGAAGTACATGTATAAAGCATTTATTTTCTAACGATTGCTGGTCTGTCACCTATTCAGTTACGATATCAATCGAGTAATGAAACGATATGGGTGTAACATCCTACTTTTCACAGCTAATTAGCTAAGAAAGACAAACATCAACATGCATTGTGCTCTTCATTGAAATCAACCTGTCAAGGGATCTTTTAGATGCATGCCAATGAATACAGCAGTGGACCTGGATTTTTCATCCAGTCAGAACAACAAGCTAATGTTCTCCTTGCCAAGCCCCATGTCCTGCATCACTGATGGGGGGAAAACAGCATGGAACTCTCTCGATCAACACCAAGATTCAACCCAGGACCTCCTGTTAGCTAGCGCCCATTCTGTTTCACAGAGAATTACGAATCTTCCAATATCTCTGTAAAAGATGACTGCCTTTAACACGTGCCGTCACAGCACGCAGCGTCAATCATTGGCTGAATGGCGCGTGCATTGTTTACAAAAGACATTACTGCTTCGGGCAGAATGCTGCCTTTTAGTCATTTTAATACCCATTTACACTAAATAGGAAATAATATTTACCTACAAATACATTAAACGTCTTTATTTATCTTTCTAATACATCAAAAGAATGTTTTAGAATTTAATTTGTTGGTGGAAAAAAGTTAATATTTAAGATTCATTAAGTCGCATTGATGTCATCCTTATCAGTGATTGTAGTGGTCTAGCGAATATTCAATGCTGATCAGTGTGGCTAGCGCCATACTCACTGAGTGCCCCTCAACCTCAAGAAGGATTGATTTGAACCGTTTGTAAAATGATGATTACTACTTTTGATTTCAGCAACCAAGCAAGTTGGAACTGGATTGATACAAATGTGGAGTATAAAAGAAAATATAAATAGTAAAAAAAGTAAAAGTAGACAGACAATAAAACCATTGTTAGAATTAGAATATACATCAACAACTGTAGATTATCTTAACTTTGGATACACAGCAGGTAATAAATATACTGTCAGGAATCAAACAAGCGACCCTACAAAAAGAAATGGTTGCTCCGACTGGACTAATGTAGAAGGGGGGCCAGAAAGAAGCCTACTTTTATATCGAAATTCAACTGTCAAGGGTTCTTTTACGTACACGCCAATATATACACAGGACCTTGTTTTTGGGCTATCCGAACAACTAGACAGATTTTTCCTACTATTTCAGCGCGTGGCTAACCAGAAGACATATTAATTTTTTTTCACTTGGCCCGTCTGCCTGAAAAGTCAGATTGCCAGCAGCTCGGGGGCAATTTTGTCGTTACCCTGATCCAGATTGGCATTGTTAATTGTAATTCGTGGTTTAAAACATGACTGTCTCATTAGAGTACAGTAATTATAGAAATACAGAATATTTGTTTATTTTTAAGGTATGTTGTGTGTTGGTGATGATGTCGGCAATATTTATTTATACAATTTAAAAAATTATCTCAAGAAAAACAAGTCACAAGAATCGCTCCTTGCACCTTCTCAGGTATGAAGTTAACAATATTTAAATCTTACTGTCGTATCTTCTTAAGCCAAGTTTTTAATACGAATGTTTGGAGGTCTGCAGGAGTTATTAAACCTGTTTAATACGATTTTTGATTAATGTAAATTACTCCCCGTGACTTTACACTGTTTAATTTTGGGCAGATTTTCAGGAATAATTATTATTGTGGTAAAAATGAACTCAATTTGTTTTAAGTGTTTTTGCAAAACTAGTTCTAGAGTTGTTTCCCCTCAATGATACCTTTTTGTAGCGTTTTAGCAAAACTAGTTCTAGAGTTGTTGCCCGTCAATGATACCTTTTTGTGGTGTTTTAGCAAAATTAGTTCTAGAGTTGTTGCCCGTCAATGATATCTCAGTTTGATGAACATGCATGATCGTACTCGTAGTTAATATTGGGCTAAATATCATCAAGAGATGACAAATCTTATCACAGGTGGTCGATAAAGGCCAGAATTAGGTCACCAGAAGACATTGTCAGTTTGTGGAAATAGGGTCAGTAATATAAGCTTCCATTCCCTTTAATAGGCAAGTATAAATATTTTTCTGAATAATATTTGCCAACTTGTGTATGACATGCCTGGCCATGATTTATACATTGTTTATTGTAATTATTTTAGGTTATTGACTGGCCAGAATTATCAGTTGATAGTAGATCAGATATAGATAGTGATGCTGTACCAGAATTAGATAAACAGGTTTGTATATTCAACTCTGATAAACACCTTTCTGTATACCTAAATCATTGAATATGAGTGAGAGAGGGGGTTTAACCCCCATACGACACAAACTAGGTCATTTCGAGACTAACACATGGTTCAATTTTATTTCAATAATTTGCTTACGCGTAGGGGTCTTTAGCAGTGGGAGGAAACTGGAGGACCCGGAGAAAACCCACAAGGTTGGACAGGCGACCCTACTCCTTGTCACATACAACAGGGGAATCAAATCCACGCCACTTGACTCAATGACAGACCTTCTAATCCAAGGCGCATGCGTTAACCATTCAACCACCCCACCTCTGTTTATAGGGGAATTTCTAAGTTGGATGTGTTCAGTGAAGCTCAGCATCGTCATAAAACTTGGTAGATAGTTTCATTATATTGATACCTTGAATAAGTTTGAAAACAAGCATTTCTGCTCAGGTTATGTAGATTGATAAACAATTTGCTTGTTACATGCTTTATAAAAATATAAATGAAAAAGTAATTTTGCTTTAATTACTTTAATATCTACATCAAATCCAAATATAAGCTGCTTTGTATATTAAACATTGTTATCTTGTATTTTCAGAAAATTGTAGTAAATTGTGTATCTGTGAGTTCCAATCAAGAATATATAGTTTATGGAACAGATACAAACTTATTGTGTATATGGAAAAGATGTTGATCTAGTTAACAAAAAGATGTTGATCTAGTCTACAAAAATAATCAAATACAGTACTGCCAATTAAGTAATTATAGTGATAGTCTAGGTCACTGAGACATCTGTATTATATTACTTTATAAATGTTTACTGTCAAATCTTAATCAAATAATGTTGTTTTGAATGTTTTTTAAACTACACTGTTCCAGAAAATATCATTTAGTAACCCAATATGTCTGGATCAATGAAATTATGATTTCATATGTCAAGCTTGGCAGGCTGTTATTTTATGATTGTCGCTTGTTATGTTATTGTGAAGATGGGTAAGATAATTTTTAAAATTGTTACTGTATATTTTGATTGTAGTTGGTGTGTAATTGAGATTTTAGAATTTTATATAATGTACCATGAATGTTTGCATGAAATTATTTTTTAATTTTTAATTTTTTTTTACACTGATAAATTGTAAAGATTGATACATAATTTTATATAACGTGTATATTTGTAAATATTTACATGAAATTTGTCGTAGATAATGTCTTAATAGCCCTTGCATTAAAATGAAAACATTTCATAAAAGGTAATTTGATGTATTGATTTCTCTTTATCACAGTGGATATATGTCTGCTTTTAAGATTTTAGATCAGCAGATAGATACAATGTTGAGATGAGATATAACCGATTTTGCGAAATTTTCTATTCATCCTATCTTTGTAAATGGTAAATGAAATTAAACCGATATTCCTTTTAAAGATTCAATTTACATAATATTGAAATTCGCAAGGAATTCAAAATGACAATCCACAGCTTTAAATACAGTAAATTAACTATAAACTCGAAGCTGCAGAAGAAATACTGCTTTTTCACTGACTTATTAATAACCCAGAGATTCGTTGCTTCTTTGAGATTTGATTTGGATATGCCATGGTCATTTCCTTATTCAGTATCACAATTCAATATTATAAGTCTTTTATTTCTTATGGTTTCATATACTTATTGCAGATAACACATCCCCACACTTGGCGTTAATTTTAATATTAGCTATTTTATCTGCCCTTGTTTTGCCAATGCTGACAATGGCTACTGGTTTCTTCTGATCGTGAGCTCGATTAACAAACCGAAAACCTGAATAAACCTGAAATTTGTAAGAAATTAGTTTTAATAACAAAAAAATCTTTTTAAAAGACTGGATTTATTGTGGTACCCCACAAAACATGGTTTGCTATAAGGTGGGATTCAGTCATCCTTGGTATCTCCAGTGGTCTCAGTTAACAAGGATCAGTGTCAATTTTAGATAATTGTATCCACCCTCAATTTCACAGGGTTTTTAAAGACATAGTTCAAATGACAGTCTATGCATTTTTCCAAAAATATATACTATATATTTGATAATACATGTGCATGTATATACTCTCAAGAAATTTACCCCCCCGCGAATTATCTACATGTTGATTTGTCTTGCTGTTTATTGTTAAGATTACAAAAATGTGTGTCCTATCTCCTTTAAAAAATTACATAAAAATACACCAGAGATAACAATTTGATTCTAATAATTATTCTTACAAACTTACCTCTAACGATGATCCAGCCACCAAGATAGCATCACTTTCAGCAACTCGTTCATAAACAAAATTAACAATGTTTTTCTTTACATTAGCACCAAAGAAAACAATTTCAGGTTTCACAATACCACCACATTTCTGACAAGGCGGCACCTAAAAATATAAAAATAAATGATTAAATAAACAACAAGTCAGATTGTTCACATCACATGCAAATATATATATATATAAAAAAAAATTCTCTTGTCAAACCTTCAAAGGCTAATATCTTTGACCAGAATAAAGTAATTTGAATGAAATTTTCAATATATTCATTTTGCATTATCTATTTTGAACTATTATAGCAAGAATGGCTAGCTCTTTATCTAAATCTTACATAATGTATCTTTAAGTTAGAATTAATTTATTTTTATAATTTTTGGACCAAAATGTTTTAACTGCATAAAAATAACATTTGATTGTGTATGGCCTGGGAATTTTTTTAATTGGAAATATGGCAAGGCAAGCTTTCCAGTATCAAATCACCATTGGTAGAAATGCTGCAACACATACAAAAACATCGAAGCAACAATATGAAATAGATTTTGTCCTTGCATGTAACAAAAATGCACTGACCATTTGGTTGATTACTTTTCCACAAAATATTTGTACCTTGTTAAGTATACTTGTAGAAATGTACATGATTATTCAAAAAATAACGGTGTATAACGACAGTGTGGTTCTAAAGAAAACTTACAGTAAAACCTTCAACTTGTTCCCAAGTTAATGTTACATCACCATCAGGTGCCATCTCTATAGATGAAGCATGCCATTCATGATTCTGGGATATAATTAATTCTTGCATTTCATTTCTACTCATTTTATTTTCACACGACAAACACTCTACGCGATGTGCACTTCCATGTAACTCTGTTAACCTTTTACTTCCCGCTTTAAAATGCAGAGCATCTACATTTTGTGTCACTAGCCAATGTACTTTTCCTACACGTTCCCATTCATTTAACACATGATGACTGACATTGGGTGAAAATGACGAAAATCTTGGCCACCCAACAAAATTCCTTGCCCAATATCTTTGCCTTATTTCAGCTTTGTTTAAAAAGTCTGTATACTGGACTGGTCGATTATTACTCCTAGCATAGAGTCCAACACCTTCCGATCTGTAATCTGGTATTCCACTCTCGGTGGATAATCCTGCACCAGTTAACACCAATAAACGTTTACTTTTCCGGATGAGATCTTGTAACTCTGCCAATTCATTTTCAGAAGGGGGAACACTGTTTGGAACAAATGAAATTGGTTGTGCCTGATTGGAAGTTGTATATGTCCGACCATTATGTGGAACAATATTAACGCTACAATTAAAGATATTGTTTATCTGTTGAAGTTGGCTTCTAAGCTGTGTATGTGTCATAAATGATGGAACTTTTGGAAATAACATTTTACAGGAACCTGTATTTTATTTCCATCAATTTATTCTTTTTTCAACCAAGGTTTGTCCATTTACTGTATATGTTTCTATTTGTTCTAGTTTGATCTTAAATTAATCATTCAGAAAATGTCTGAAATAGAAAACAAAATAATATGGAAACACACAAAAATCAAATAAAATACCCGTACCCATTTTCAAAATTTATAAGCAAGGTTGCACATATATTATGGAAATATGTGATTTTCCAAATTTATAAGCACAGTACCGACCAGTTTAATGTTAGCTCATTTTTGGCAATAACTACCTAAGTTCCAAGGACAGTGTTACGGATAAGATCATCAAGCCTGGAGGGCTACTTATATAGGGCATATGATCTCTACTGTCAAGATTTGCTACTATTCTATAGATGAACTATACTCAAGTATTAAATTTAACAGCTTTTATGTGGCTCCTGGGGACGCAAATAAGACTTGGCTTTTCAACTAAACTCCCATTTTGTTTAACAAAGTTAAAATATATATACGCGCAACCTTCTCAAAACTTCGTTTCTCTCCTGTCGTTCGTTCGTTTCTGGGGTTTTACGTCCACTTCCACCTAAGGTGATATCGTAGACAAAAAATATTTGTTTACATAACATGTACATGAGAGTTACTTCCCCATATTGTGAGAGTGAGCTCCCGGTTCTTTCGTCGCTTAAACAATATTTTGTCTAATAAAAGATCATTGATTTTGATTTATATTATTTATATCCTGGTCGAAAGATGTTGAAAAGTATTTTTAAAAGCTTTCATTACAACATTAAGTAGAATTTTACTCCCATTTTTCTTTGATGTGAGTGTGTTTCTTTCAACGTTGTATGCGACATACACTGTAAAGTAAAAGTAGAGCAAGAACAATAAGTAGACCGGTCAGTACTTTTACTTAGCTCGTGTAATACTTTATTGATGCTATAGACCAAATAACACTTGAATTGCAATAATTTTGATGTGTTCAATACCTTTCCGCTGTGGCATTTATTTTGGTCGATACTGGGAGACGAAATATCACCATACCGCAAAACAACTAGCCGGCAACTTACATTTCTCACAAAATTTACCCAATTTCTTAATCAGAACCAGACAAAAACACTTACTAACGAACAAACTGTATAAATTAACGTTGTCCACAAATAAGAAAACAGTTTACCATTTTTCGGAAATGTCATCGGGAATGGAATTAGGAAGTGTGATCAAGATAATTAAACAACATGCACCAACATCTTTAGCCGAATCTTGGGATAATGTGGGGCTCTTGGTCGAACCTTCATCCCCTCATACAGTCAACACCATTATGCTCACTAATGATTTAACACCGCTTGTTTTAGAAGAATCCCTTGAGAAAAAAGTGGATCTTATCTTGTCCTATCACCCACCGATATTTTCTGCTGTTAAAAGATTGAGTCAGGGTAAATGGAAAGATCGTCTGATTATAAAATGTATTGAGAATCGGATTGCTGTTTATTCGCCACATACATGCTATGATGCAAAGGCTGGTGGAGTTAATGACTGGTTGATTGGTGCATTTGGTAAGTATTAAAAACTGATGAGACAATAGGAGAGAGCCATCTGTAATAATCTAAATGCCTATAGAAAGAATATGATTTTCATACAGTTGTATTAAAAAATTGAGGCTGACAATTGAAAGTGTGCTCAGTCGCTCAGATGGGATATATGGACAACAGAGGTCCATTCATGTCAAATTGGTGCATATCAAGAACCCTTGACAGTTGGAAATGACAAGTGCACATAGAAACGCATAGGGTCTGCATAATTCGTCTACCTCGGACTAAAAAACTAAACAGATTACTATATGTTGGTCTCAAAATGACCGAAGTATTTTGTTGAAGAGACATTAAACCCATTCATTCTAAAATGAAATTGGGTTCAACATCTTACTGTTCTGCTCCAACTGGGCAAATGAAGATGGGCATGCCCCATGCAGTGTGCTATGAGTGAAATTTTGCTCAGGCAGTGGCACTATAGCCTACTTTTACATCAAATTCCAACTGCCAAATAAGGGATCTTTTACGTGCACACCAATGTATACACGGGACCTCAGTTTTCCATCCAATCCGAATGACTAGACAGCTGTCCTGCAACACTAACAAGGGGACACCGCATCGAAAACCGTTCATTCCATATGTAGCAGTAAAATTAAAATTATTAATTGTATAGAATTAACTTATGAACAACAATTTTGTCTTCCTTCAGATACAGTTGATGTGGTACCAGTCACAAATGCTGAGGAAATTCCTGGAGGATACAGTCATAAAGTCAATATTTTAACCAAAGATTTATCAAAACTTCAGTCCACCTTGTCTAGCTTAGCTGTAAAACAAGTCTCATCACCTATGTAATATTTCTTTTAATTTTTGCACCTAGATAAACAATACTTGGCCTATATGTGCTTTCCATGCATATCAAAGAGGATCCCACATTATGAGCTCTGCGAAATATTGTGAATATGGGTTTATATCATGGACAATCTAAATATTAAGAAAGAAATATTTGGTGAACAAATATAATAGATAAAGCATACAAATTATTTTATTAAAATAGGTAAATTCTTATTATATATGCTGATGCGTGTATCTTTGTGGGTGTTACTTTGAATTAAAATATCTGTTCTTCCAGTCATTTATCCATCTTTGTGGGGGGTTGGATGGCCAAATGGTTAGCACGTTTTTGCTGTATCATAAGGTCTGTCATTGAGACAACTGGCGTGGTTTCGAATCCCCGGTTGTACGTGACAAGGAGTAGGGTCCCCTGTCCAACCTCGTGGGTATTCTCCAGGTCCTCTGGGATTCCTCCCACTGCTAAAGACACCTACGCGCAAGCAAATTATTGAAATAAAATTAAACTATATGTTAGTCCCAAAATGACTTAGTTTGTGTCGAGTGGACGTTAAACCCCATTTCTCTCTCTCTCTCTCTCTTATCCTTCTTTGTGTCAGATGTTGCAGGAAATGTAATAATTTCTCCCATTTATTACAGAACTACATCAAGTGGTGAAGTTATGACAGTGTGTAGTGTTCTGTGTAATAAATGTACATTATCTGAAGTTGTTAAAGCTGTAGAAGGCTCAGACTGTACTGTTGATACCATTGAAAACATGAAATTAGAAAAGGTAAGTAATGAAATATATTTTACATATAGGTTCTTATAACTTGGCAAACCTCAGCAGATTCCAGTACCCTACATCTAGCCTCGGCTGTATGACGAAATCTGCCATTGGAACTGCTTTCAAGTTCCCGGATTACCAACGGTGTTTCCCATGACGACGCCGTTGAAGAATGTTTTATCATACAAATATTTCAAAGTCTGAAGCTGTTTTTCTTTCAAGTTTATCCAATTTCTTCAAACAAGGACAACTTTGCACTGAAATTTTACACACTCTTCGAACGACACAATTTTGATAACTTCTTTTTAAAAGCGGCAAGTTTTCCTAATAATTAAACGGGTGCCGCATCACAGTTGTATAGGCGTAGGTACATATGACTTACCGTCATACAGCTGAGGCTAGAAGTAGAGTAACAGAATCTGCCGAGGTTTACCGAGTGGGTACTTATTTCATGTAGGTAGTGGTAGATGCAGTGTCCATTATTTTTTTGGTAATTGAAATTAGGTACTGTTACACGAAATGCTAACTTTCTAGGCCCTAGCCATAGTCTCATTTCTTGGTGATTTTGAATCCCTGGCAAACTGTAATATTGTGAAAGTTGGATCTCTATAGAATATCAGTCCAGCAATGATTCAATTCCATTCAATATTTACATAGGAAGACCTTCAGACAGATATTGTCCATGAGTCTGTGGATTTGTAACTATTTTATATCATGGAGATTACATTATATTTTGATGGAGGAGAACAATTCCGACCTCACAAGTCACAAAGCATTCCCAGACTTCAGTTAAGAATTTACTCAAAATTGTTTGCCTTAATATTTTAACTAAAATATAGCCCTTTATAAAACTTTTGTTGTTTTAATGTGTCAGATACATCGATAAGAAACTATGTGCTTCTGGATGAAAGATATATTTCTCAAAAACAGTGATTGAAAGTGGAGTAAATTCTTAACTTAAGCCTGATAATACTTTGTGAACTTAGGACCTGACCCCGAGTTCACAAAGCATTCTCAGGCTTAAGTTAAGAATTTACTTAAAATTGTTCACCTTATTTTAACTAAATCATAGCCCTTTATAAAACTTGTATTGTTTTAATGTATCAAATACATCAATAAGAAACTATGTGTAAAGTTTTGTATTTCTGGATCAAAGATATTTCTCATAAACAGTGATTGAAAGTTGAGTAAATTCTTAACTTGGTTCTGAGAATGCTTTGTCAACTCGGGGCCTGATCTTATATCTGGAGTTATCAAACACTGAATAGGCCTTACTATAGCGCATATTTGATGTAATTTTGTATTATGATATTTACTAGCAGGATACCCGGCTTCGCTCGGAGGTCATAACTCCGAAACTGGAAGTGGTAGACTAACGCCACCTGGCCTATGTTACTCCCCGGTCCGAGCTACCCCTATACCCCAAATTTTAGACTCGGGGCAGACCTAGTGTAGCCGCCAACCCTGAACAGACAGACAGACAGACAGAAAGACAGACAAACGACAGTCACAAATATATATATATAGATAATTGTTTTGATTGTAGATACCAGTAACTGGCTGTGGATCTGGTAGATATGCCACTTTAAAACAACCGTTAACTCCACAAGAAGCCGTTGAGGCTGTTAAAATACATTTAAACTTACCACACGTAAGGTTAGCTGCTAAACCAGGTCAGTTTAAAAAAGTTGAAAGGAAATGGGGTTTAACATCTGAAACAAATTTTTGCTATTACTACAGCTTACTCTTATTTTTTATTTTGAACTGTCAGGGGATCTTTATCATGCTGCTAATGGCATAAATGTGACCTCTGGTCACTTTTCTTCTCCTGGCCCTCTAATCTGCACCATTGTCATGGAGAAACCATGTCAGATAACTCTCAGACTTATTTCAGTCGTATAAGACATTTCCGCAATTTCGAGATTTTTCTTTCCTTTTAAATTTGCGTACATTTTTAAACTAGGCATATTGAACCAGTCAATTATAATACAGGATTTTTCCCCTTTTACACTGTCTAAAATTAAAATGGAATGGAAACTTGCAGGATTTATTTTCTGTAATTAAAGAAAGTTCAAGAACTCCATAAAAGTTCAGAGTTCAAAACAGGAAAGGGGAATGGGGAATATATCTCTATGCTCTATCTAATGTCAGAAAAGTTCTAAATCGATATAATACAGTGTTTTTTATTAACTATGGATCAACCCAGTCCAATCACTGAAGGATTATATCATGCAGCTACTGAATATATTTTATTAGCCCAGTCAAGGCAGAACAGTAGGACGTTAAACCCCATTTTATTTTATTACAAATTATGTATCAACCCAGCCAAATCATGGAAGAATTGTGGCATGCAGCGACTGCATATATTTTGTTTGATGTTATGAATTTCAAGCAATGAGAGAGTGAGGGAGAGAGAGAAATGGGGTTTAACTGTCCACTCGACACAAACTGGGTCATTTCGGGACTAACACATGGTTCAATTTTATGGTTCACTTGCGCCAGGGGTCTTTAGCAGTGGCAGGAAACCAGAGGACCCGGAGAAAACCCACAAGGTTGGACAGGCGACCATACTCCTTGTCACGTACAACCGGGGAATCAAAACCACGCCAGTTGACTCAATGACAGACTTTATGATACAGCGCACACATGCTAAATATTCGACCATCCCACGACCCTTCAAGCAATGAACATATGGATGAAACAATATAGTCTTTTGATACATGTAGCTCTAAAAGTTGATTTTTCAAATAAATACTCTTAGACTACATCATTTTAATTTTAATTCATCTCGATCAATTTTGGAAGTCTCACCTCCTATTTCTCAAAATCTTGGCTCCTAATTTAAGAGTTTTGACATTTTAAGAGGCTTTTTATCGAGAGGCTAACTATAAAGATTCGAAAGAACCAAATATCAAATTGTTTTGACCACAGTGTTTCATTACTTTGACTGAATTCTTTTAATTTTTAGGTAATAAATATATAAAGAGTGTGGCAGTGTGTGCTGGCTCGGGTTCCTCGGTATTAAGAGGTGTAAATGCTGATCTGTATTTAACAGGCGAGATGTCTCATCACGAAGTTCTCGATGCCGTCTATAGTGGCGCTAACGTTATTCTTTGTGATCATAGTAACACCGAAAGGGGTTATTTAAAACGGGTAAAACAGGAATTGAGTGAGAAACTTAATGATGTGAATATTCTTATATCAGAAACTGACGTTGATCCTTTAATCATTGTTTGAAAAATTTATTTAATAAAATATAGTCAAGTTATTCAGCTCTTCTGTTTGTTGTTTACCCTCGCGGATAAAGTGAAATTGATTATTTCATAATAATAGTATGGAGAGGCAAGGAATATAATAATTACCATAACTTATTTGTCCTGTTACCCTAAACTTGTTTTAGGAATTTAGTATTTGAGCAGCAGTGGGTTTTACCATCCAGATCTTGTCGAAATTCTTTGTATGACTGGCATTAGGCCAGCTCCATTGTTAAAGAAAAATATACAGGCAAATATGCTTCCCTACAAGCATCTCCTCTGATAAGTGAGAACTCTGGCTCAAGTCCATTATTGTAACCCCATGACTGCTGTGGTCCTGTAGACTAAAACAAATACTAGAGTCATTTAAGAATAAATGTTTTATTCAAGCTTGAATGTACAGATGGACTAGATTGTATTTTATAAAATAGGAATGTTTGTTTTGATAACTCATGGTTAGTGTGATAGATATGTGTGGTATTATTTATAACATATGGTAAAAATAACAATGCAGTTAACAGAATGTATGATCAATAAATGAACTAAAAATACAAAACAATTCAGAAATAAAAATGAACTAACATACATATGATTAATATCTCTTATTTAGATACTGTACATATCAACCAGTATTCCATCAGACTCATTTGTTTACACTAGTACATGTACAGTACACTTCGCATAATTCGGATCTAAGTGGACTGACCAATTTTATCCGAGTTAAGCAAGATCTGTGTTCGCCGAAGAATGAAATTCAATCTTTGCTCGAATAGAAATAACTGCAAGAGCCAGATAATAGTTAACTCAAAGGCACATTTCAAGCTTTTGTTCGTATGTGCGAGTAGATAACTTCTGTTTGAAAAAATGTCCTAAATTTTCCCGGAAAGTGTCTCATACAGCAGACAGTGAGTTTCGAATTTTCCGGGAAAATTCTATTATTGCGTCACGTCAAATAGGCTGATTTGATTCAAAATGATAGGGAAAGTATTTTGGGGCTCTGTGCATGGAATACCTAACTGCGTTTTAGACCATCGGTATGAAACTGACAGTCAAATTCTGAACATACTGCCAATCTGACTTAGGCGAAGGAAAAAAGCCGGAATTAGATTAAATGGACTGAACATTTTGATGCGAGTTGAGCATAAATTTAATATAAAAAAAAAACGTGCAGGATCAAAGGGTCCAAACGATTTTATCCGAGTTGAGCAAAGATCCAACTTATGCAAAGTATAACTCATAATAGGCATTTCAGTTTTAATTAAAAGCGCTTTAGATGTATCTGTCGGGTTTGCCATATCTACCAAAATAGTAGTAATTGAATAAAACTGAAATATGATTATAATCATATATAAAGATAAAATTGTATTACTTTTACCCCTAATTATACAGGTTCTATTTCTGACACCCATTGCACTTGGCCTGTTAATCTCCTTTACTTCTGCCGAGCTGAAAGTTTGAAGGCAAGGGTGCAAGAGTTCCTTCCCCCCTACACAAATATAATTATAGTTCCCCCCTTTTATCCACAAGTGTTGAAAACAAGTAACTGAATGAAAAAATAACAAAATATGGGTCCTATTTGAGCTAACAGTAATACCCTCCCTCCCAACCGTCTTTCTAAAATGTTTTTTGGCACTTTTGGTTTTATTTTTATTTTTTTTGATCCAAAGAATTGTATTTACTTGAAACACTGTAATCAATTACATTCTATTTAATATTATTTAGTATTTGTCACACTTCTTCTTTTAGATAGAAAATATATGGTCTTGTAAAAATATAAATAGAGAATTTAAAATGGAATAGTTCTTTCTATTTACATAAATACGTATATTCATGGTTTAGTATATTTTAAGTAGATAAATCTAGAATATTCAATAACAAAATAAAATAAATTAAATTAAATTATATAACATTCAAAATCTTCACCATGTCAATATTTTATGACATTCATCTATTATTAAGACCTTGACATGATGAAGATGAGAAAGAATAAAATTAATGGCACAACTTACAACAATACAACCAAGAATTAATATGTTTTGACAGAATTAAAACAAAAACAAGTTATAAATAAATAAAATCATAATGAAAACTTTTGTTTTAAGTTCAATATTTAACAGCAAAATCATTAAATGTTTAATAAAAGAATAATCTCAAGTCAAATACACCTGGGCCTGACGCACTGACTCAAGTTGACATCTTACTTCTCTTAACATATTGGCTTTATCTATATACATCAAATTTTCAAAATGGACATCAAATTATAAAATTCAATAAAATCAGTAATTTTATTTTTGGCCTACATCAAAGTGGTCTAGTCAGCTTAATCTATAATGAAAAGTTTGTAACTAATCCTAACTTATAACACGTTTCATCAGTATACTTTTATACATAATGGTCAACTATGGTTTATGATAACTGAACATCACTTAACATCATTCACAACACAATAAAAACATGCTCTAGCCCTAGCCCACTTATATAGCCCACTTGTAAATAGATATACAGCCCACCTGATATACTACATGTACATACATGCCATATTTAGAGCTAGAATTAGGCATAAATTAAACACAGTCTGCAGGTCGTTGTAGGTCTCATTCAGTTACGTCACTAGAATAATTATCATACATATAAACAAATTATTTAATAGACTGTATGTTAACATATATTGAAGCTGCTGATCATCATTTCAGGGATTGTGAATCCTCTGCAAACTACTATATTATTGTGAAATTTGAATTGAATATATAAGTGTAGTTTAATGGTCAAAATCGAGACATTAAGTGATATATTGATACTGGACGAGTGCATTAGCTCGAGTGTTGTTTCAATATATTAAACAATGTCTTGCCCGAGACCATTAAACAACTTCAAATACAGACACTATCCTGCATATGCATTTCGAGCAAGTCCAATATTTTATCTACTATAAATAATGTGCCAACTCTGTATTTTACAAAGGAATAATGGTCCAATTCCGTTTAGTGTTTATAAAGGTATGATGAATTGCAAATCTCCCAATATTCTGCAGACGGTACAAAACGGACAAGCTCTGGCTACTGATCATGTTCAGATATTTAAATCTAACCTTGGTCGTTTTGACACACTGAATATAGTACATGTTGCTACATGTAGATAGACAAATATATACAACACATATTAATATTAAATAATATGACAATATCACAATAAAGGCAAATAAACAAAAACAATAACCCAACAAATGAATAAAGAGACAGAAAAAATGGAGGAATGACAATACATAATACCAGACATTTATACTACAGGAAGACACATAACAATATAAATATATGTTTTAAAAGGGGGAGGAAAAAACAATAACAAATTCATTTAGAAATTCAATAGCAATGCAAGATTTAGATTATACATGTATCTACTGTATATTACAAAAGCAATGTTAACAAGTATTATCAGCATATTAACCATTGCTACATAAGACAGTAACTATGGGTGATAAATTGTTTCTACAAAGTTTTACTTCTTAGTTCTATTGTTACATGTACTTCAGTCAAATGGCCATTGATAAAGCATTGCAGAAAGATATAGCACTGTTAATTGTGAGACATATTATAAATAATAGAGCTGTTAAAAGAGGAAATCTCAAGGCAACTAATCAGAAATGCCTCATTACCATAGTAATTGTAGCAATTGATAATGAGCAAATAATGCTAATTACTGCTTTAGAAATATGAATATTAAGAAATACATATATGTATGTTTGATCATAAACAACATATACATGTAGCAGACCTCCTCTAAATACAAACAGTACATGAATATTACATGGACAATCTCAAAATTGAATCAACCTGTTAGCTACCTGAACCCACAAAAAAACATTTAAAAAATAAAAGATTTCAAAAATAAAATAAACTAATTTTTAAATGGAAATTATTTAGTTTGTTCAGGAAATGAAAATAATGTACTGTATAATGTATATACAGTTTGCATGCACATTACAGCTATAGTGTAGTAGTACTTCAAACTAGTACTTCAAGTTAATTATGCTCATTCAAAGCTTAATCAATTATCTGAAATTAACTGGAATCCAAATAACTATTTTACGTTGGGTTAAATTTATGAAAATACATGTATTTTAAGAATGTCAGAAAATCTAATTTTATGTGATTGTATAAATGAGCACTGATCAATATCATGGAAAACTATTCACGAAAAACAATACAAAAAATCGATAAAAATACCATATAAAAATATCATTAACAGAATCCCATGAGAATTATACCTGTAACCATAATGAAATATCTACATTATGGTTTCACTATAACACTGATGTTGGAGACTATATATTCTTAATAGTTAGACCATTGTAGATTGTCATTAGAGGGATTTTGAATTGTCTGCATTTACAATCAACAATATTGTGGAAGTTGAATCTCAAAATGAAATTATCAGCCCAAATAAGGTTAAATTTTGTGGAGTATTTAAAAAAATATGATAAATTGAAAGGTTCCCAACAATTGCCATCCTCTGCCGATGACATAAACAAGCCAGTGGCACTTATAGATGTTGTATAAAATATATTGAAGGATTTGTTTTACATATGATTGAATCCATAGCAGTAGATTATCTATCGAATCTATCATTGACATTTTGGTTTTGTGACCTTAATTAATTGTTACATGTATATAATCAATTTGAGTGCATTTTAGCTGGATTAATCTGTGAACAAGAGCATCGCTACCGCTGCAATATACGACCACATTCCTGCTTTGATTGATATGGTACTTTTTAAAACTAGAAATGGGCGTGGCTCTGCCCCTGGGGGTCGGGCATGCACCAAAAACAATAGGGATCTTCCTTGGGGTATAAGGAATAAGTATACCAAGTTTGAAGAAAATCCAGTAAGAATTGCGCCCTGTAGGCGACACAAAGACACACGAAAAGAAAATGGGAAATGGGCGTGGCTCTGCCCCTGGGGGGTGGGCATGTACCCCAAACGATAGGGATGTTCCTTAGGGTACAAAGAATGTGTATGCAAGATTATAAGTTAAGAAATGTGGCCTGTAGACGACAAACAAACAAATACTAGAAATGGGCGTGGCTCTGCCCCTGGGGGTCGGGCATGCACCAAAAACAATAGGGATCTTCCTTGGGGTATAAGGAATAAGTATACCAAGTTTGAAGAAAATCCAGTAAGAATTGCGCCCTGTAGGCGACACAAAGACACACGAAAAGAAAATGGGCGTGGCTCTGCCCCTGGGGGTTGGGCATGCACCCCAAACGATAGGGATGTTCCTTAGGGTACAAAGAATGTGTATGCAAAGTTTCAAGATTATTAGTTAAGAAATGTGGCCTGTAGACGACAAACAAACAAATACTAGAAATGGGCGTGGCTCTGCCCCGGGGGGTCGGGCATGCACCAAAAACAATAGGGATCTTCCTTGGGGTATAAGGAATAAGTATACCAAGTTTGAAGAAAATCCATGAAGAATTGCGCCCTGTAGGCGAACCACAGACACACACACACACACACACACACACACACACACATACATACATACACACACACACACACACAGACAGGGGCGACGGCATAATACGTTCACATTATGAATGTGGACGTATAAAAATTAGATATTGTTCCCCCCCCCCACCAATTAATGCACGATTGTGAATGGCAACTTTTAAGTATTACACTGTAGGAGATCATTAACCAACTGTTGGGAGCACATGTCACCATAACTTCCAAATGAATTACAGTAAACAGCTCTTAAAGAACAACTCCTACTAAAATAGCATTATAGTGAAACCTAGTGGAGATAGATAAAAAGAATGAAAAACGTACAGGAAATATATATATCTAAGAAAAAAAATGCATCTGGGTTTATGTGGAGTGATTTAAACTATACATGTATATACAAACAATGAACATTCTTAAAATAAAAATGCTGAATCCAATGAAAATCAGAGAAATGTCCTGCTTTCTCTAGCACCATTGCCAAGCTAATTACATTTCCACTAAAATACTTTGTTCCTAACCAGATATATTCTTGATCAACAAGACATCAAATAAACCATTAGTCTGGGTAACAAGGATAAAATACATAGCAACTAATTTAAAGCATAAATGACCTAAACAAAAAAGCTAAATGACAGATGTTCCAATGACGATTCTCTATTAAACCAGCCATTCTCCATCTTTTTTCCAACCATAACTAAGTTTTTAAACTATTGAGTTAAGCCATCAGCAGGGGTTTTTTTTTCTCCCTTTGGAAACAACAATGTTATTCTATTGCACTTATAATTAAACAACTTTACAAACATTTACATTTTTTAAATTGGTTTGAAAATATGTTTATATCATCATAATAAATTATAATGTGATAAAATTTTTTAGGGATACAACCATGGGCTATATTTAACAATAGAAAATTGCATCCTGTTCACCAACATTTTATGAAGTAAGGTTGGCCATTATTAAATACAAAAGAAAATAAAACTGTCGACTTACAAGTACATATAAATCGAATCAAAATTTGACCTTTATATATTTACATATATACTTCCAGTTATATGATAAATAATACATTTTTAATTCTTATGGAATTAGTTTTAAACATTGCATAGATAACATATCAACCAAACTGAGATAAAAGTAAATACCTAGCAAAAACAACTTTAAGCATTTCATTGACTGAGAAAAAAAAGTGCATATAGCCAATGAACAAACCGTATTCTTTAAAACATTATAATTAAAATTTCAGGAATAAAGGTTCTAATTAGGTCCATGCTAACAGAAATTTAAAATTTTATATCTCACGGAATCGATTGTAATTTAAAGGTGATAGTCGTACATGCGTATATCCTGACAAAAGATAGATAACAACTACATGTACTTGAATCAACTTCAAGAAAAATTCTAGCTGACCAGGTTTCAAGCCTAATTAAAGATAGTTTGCCAGGCAATGGAATATACCCCCCCCCTCTCCTTTCATCACCATAAAGGTGCCATCTATAAAGGTTATAGACAAAACATTAAAAAAACAGATCCACAAACATTAAAATAATTGCTCGAAAGCCTTATAATTTGAGAAGCTTCTTCCTGGCACAAACATCAAAAAATGTTTAAATGTCACGCTAGGACAACCACAAGGAAACTGAATTTTAAAAGTAAACACTTCTGAAAGTGGACAACCTCATTTAAAGAGGTCTTATTAGCACTTTTGGAAGTCTTCGTCTCTTGAGAAAAAAATAATTTCCACTACAAACCAAATTGATTTGACTATAGTTACATGTAGATTATTTTCTTGTTGAGAAGGATAATATCTCTTTAAAATTAGAATGTGGATAATAACTCATACCAGTATGAGTTACAAAGATTTTAAGTTACAACATGATTTTAGTTGATGAGAATCCGATCTTCACATCACAAATTAATTACCTTTTGCACTTATTCATACCATTATATCTTATAGTTACTTTTCTGAATCACCGATTTTCATTTTTCCTCCAATAATATCAGTTTCCAGCCAATTAAATGTGAAACTATGGCAACACATGCAGACGTGAAATTCTGATTCTGTCCATGATACAGTTTTAATCTTATTGTATTCCTCGTACACACTTTCTCTTTTGACGTGACCCCTATAACCTTCTTTTCGAAGGTCATTGGTCAGGCAGCTGGCTATTAGATCCATAATATCATCTGGTGAGCCTCTAACTTTATCTGCAGGTATATTAATGTAATGTTTGCCAAAACATGATTCAAATGATGGATATATTTTGAATCTCCGAAAATATTGCTTGTGAACTTTGGAAGAAAATTGCAGATCTTGTGGAATGGGTTGATTTTTGGACACCACAACTTTAACAACAGAAGAAATGGCACTGAAATCTAATGCCTGCTGTTTTGCCAAAGCTGTTATCTTTCGCTTAACGTCTTCATATGACGATAACTTTAGACGTATATTATCTCTAACCACATACTCTGCGAACAATGCTGGCGAACTTTTCAGTAAATCTTCAAGTGGGTGGATGCCATAAAACATGGCATCCTTCATCACATTCTCAGCAACCTCAGCAGGCGGCAGATCCTCATGTCGTAAAAAACTTAAGATGTGGCCAAAATACTCTCCATCTCTGTCAATGAAATAATTTCCTTCTGCATCTTTATCGACTTCATGACGGCCACTAAACATGACCGCCAACATGGAATCAGCATATTTGGTCAATGTTGAAAGTCTAGTAGCAAAAACCTTACCTCCAACATTTAGATTTATTACACTAGGAAACTGGAAAGATATGAAGCATGATATTAAGTTAACAGTGAGGTTGATGTCCACAAATAAATAGATGACAATGACACTCATTACTTTATATAGGGTGGAGGGGACAAATATCATGCCAGACAAGCGACATTCAACAAATAAATGTCTAGTTTCATTTTCAAAATGCCATGATAAATAGCTGATACAGTGTTAACACTATGTTTTAGTACTGCACTGCTGTATGAAATAGTTGATCAAGTATTAGCAAACTTTGAACAGCACTACTGTTTATAATAGTTATGATGCACTGCACTACTGTTTAAAGAAATATCTGTCCTGTACAATTGACAGGGGAAACAAGATTGGAAAAGTCTTCAGGTCTTTTCTCATCTAGCAATGAGTAGGAACGACCATATTACCAAGCTTTGTGGCTTTTTCAACCAGACAGAACTGCCCCACCTCTCCCCGTGAAATGTTCTTTTTGAGTTCCGAGGAACTTAATCAGTTAAGAATATGTGTGCATTGGTGATCTTGAATAAATGTATACTTGATCAAGATCCTCCTTAAATGTCCACATGGACCAAAGAAATTTCATTTGAATAAATCTAAACTATAAAACATGCACAATCCTAGAAATAGGGTCAAAGAGAACCCTATCTTGTCGGGCTGCCCCCAAGGGTCAAAGTAACTTCATTTGAACAAATTTAAAGTAGCACAACCTTGGAAATATCTTCAAAATTTAACAGTAGGCCCCTATATCCATTGCAATATGTCAATGCCCTGACAGCATAATTATTTAACATATCATAGATCTGGTCGAAATCAATGAAGCGGCTCAAGACAAGAAGTCGAAAATACATAAATTTGCCCTATCAAGATGCTCTTTCCACACCAATAAGGGGCCTAGTTATTTCATTTGAACCAACCTAACCAATTTTATCAAAGAGCAAGTCAAACATATTTTGATAGTCCCATTTGAGGTACACATAGGTAGCTCGACACCCCCAGGGTCAAGCCCTTACATTTTAAAAACAAAATTTATCTTGAGCAGCTTGATTACCAAATTTCAAAGAAATACATTCTGAAGGGCAAAGGTGTTGACATGGACACTGTTGATTTTGGTTGATTCTATTAGGTTTGTTTTTTCAAACAAAATTTTATAAAAGCAAAGACAAGCAACAGTTGACCTACATCCATAAATATACAACTGACCCTACAATACATGCATCTTTGCTAGTGTCAGATTTTGCTGTTTATTCTGTTTGTTTATCTTGTTAAGCTAATGACCTCTCCTCCCTGAAGTCTAATCACACTTAAACTTACAGCCTCCAGTCACAAACCAGTAAGATAAATACTTGGTATATGATCTACCACCATCACCAGAGGTACATGTATTATCATTTAGAAATATAAGCACTCTCTCTGTAACAAGATAATGTCCATTTTATCATCACAGACAGATATAAAAACCATAAAAGATACATGTATCTGTTTAGTGAAGTCTTTCACGTGCTTCTTTATTAGCTTCCCCGATGGAGCTTCGGAGTTACTATACTAATACGTTGGCTCGCTAACCTGGAGGTCCCATGTTCGATCCTAGTTTTGGTCGAGAAAGTTCATCTGTATTTTCTGACAAGATTACGTAGTGCGGGACAACATTTAGTCATTTAGATGCGACGAAGAACTGAGGTCCCGTGTACACATTGGTGTGCACATACATGTAACAGAACCTTGGAATTTGAAAATAGTTAATAATAGTAGGCCACATATATTGCCGATATCCGGACAAAAATCTCCCTCATGCACTGTATGGCATGTCTCTCTTCACTCCTCCAGTTGGAGCACACTACGCAATGACATGACTATATCTCATGTGCACAACAGATAGAAAAAACGATGACAGAAAAACGATGGACATAAAAACGATGGACATAAATAATAAAATATGACAGAAAAACGATGGACGTAAATATGACAGAAAAACGATAGACATAATCATAAATATGACATAAGCCTATTCGGCTTAACAAATTTGATCCACATTATAAAACGATGGACCTTATAATACATGTATCCTTGATAAAACTTTAATATGTCATTCCCATTTTTCTGTCTCAAGTTGTTACAATGAATACCCTAGTAAAATTATTTTTAAGGTCCATGGATCATGATGGTAAAATCAATCATGGATATGCTAAATCAAAGCACGTCTCAGTCCTCACTACGAAATAAAATTACAATATAAAGATGTCATTTTATAGATTGCATATGCCGGGAATGCATTAACCATGTTGACATTTATTTCCTTGTTTGCGATTTTCACAGTTATAATCGAAGGCTTGCACTACCTGAACTACTGGTGACAGTCCAAAATTGGGTCAACAAAGAAAACTTTGTTGTGTTGCTCGTCAAGAGATGAGACCTCGCGGTTCTAGCCGTTTGTCGGGTAAACACATTCTATTTTCGCAATGCTTTGTTTCGATGAGATGCTCTAATTTTTATAAAACTTACCTTTTGGTGATGTTTGTGTCTCCTCTCGACACCCCTGTCTGTTCGGTCGCTCATGTTTGTTTGTTTACGTGTGGCACGCGACCTTCTATTAAAGGGCAGATAACTATCATTTCAAAAGCACGTGCCCGATGAATTTGAGCTGAAATATTATACCTCAGGCCCTCAGTTGTGTTTAGTTAATTTGTTTCGACTTCATGTTGTTTCAGTTCCAAGGCATATTTTGGAAGGTATAAAACAAACAAACAAAACAAAAAAAAAACAAAAAAAATAAACTGAGACAAGAAGGGAGAGAGTTGAAAGACTGGGTGACTGTCAAGAGTAAGGTTAATACTACTAATATATAAGAATTATTTTAATATAGTTTTAAAATTATATACAAACAGAAACAAAACAGCAAATAAAAGAATATTTTTAAGAACATATTTTTAAGAATTATAGAAATATTTATAAGAACAAATTTTTAAGAATTATAGAAATATTTACATAGAAATATTAGAAACAAGCTGACGATGTTATTAACACCCTTCATTTCACTCCCTTTCAAATTAGCTGGTTTACAGAACTGTATTGTTTGGATCTTGCCTGTGTATTGAAACAGTGTCCGCAATTGGTATGACCGAAGACGTCACGTTAATCGCAGGAGACGACACGCAGCGTACAGGCAGTTTTGGCGCCACAGGGAATAGAGTCGATCGATCCAGTAGGCCTACCCTCCTGCTGTGTCGGATCGAAGATCATTTCCAGACAGAAATAAACAGTATACTGGTTTTAATCCAAGAAAACTATTATGAAAAATAAATAAATACTAAACTTACATTAAAATCTGGTTTTCTGTTTCTTGGCTATTTCTGAAGTTGGTTCCGGCTGGGTTTTAGCAATGGTCCCTGCACATTTAATTGACTTGATATGAAATCTGAATATGAAAATAATTATTCGATGGATATACGTTGGTGATAAGATTAATTTATGATGTCTAACATCGTTTATCTTCTTAATAATAAGGTATTTTATACAATTAGATTGATATAATTTCGACACCATAATTAATTTTAAAACTATAATCGCATGGATTTAATTTCCGTACACGAAGTAAATGGAATTAACAACTCCAAATATAAGAATTCCGTATAATAAGAATCAATTTAGAATACCAAAAGGCGAATCGTAACACATGCGTTGAAGCCCGAAATCCCCCCCCCCCCTTTTCCACTCGATTGTCATTATTTTGGAGACTCAGAGATTTCATTTCCGGAGAACAATGACAGCACACAAAATACACAATCTTGTAACACGCAACAAGAATTGCTACAAATTACAGTGATATTGAGTGTTCCGAAATACTGTAGTCTCGATCACATAACTAAAATGTTGTAATTGTGTATTTACGACTTTTTCAGCTGTCCGGTAGACGGTGAACACATCTGTTTTCCAAACAGGTGGAGATGTGATGAGGACATAGACTGTTCAGATGGTACGGATGAATGGCTAACTGTCCCCCATGATGTGGTTTAAAAACAACAGTTTAATTTAGTTTAATTTTATTGCATCGACATTTCATTGTACAATACAAAAGGATTAAACAAAAGTTCTAATAACTTATAAACGTCTTCTCTTTGACAACACGTAGATAACTTATTTGAGTAAATTATCTAATACTGTATTTATGTTTGTAGAAGCGGGTATTGTCTAATCCACTCAAAATCTAAACCGCCTGATGACTAGAGGTAAGGGTTGTTTACGGGCCTGCTATGTGAATAAATGTCAAAATATTAATTTATAATAGCATTTTAAGCTATTAAACAGGTAGGTTTCTCTCTTGCGTATAATCCATCTTGAATGACCAATTTTTATACGCCCACATTTCTGTGTGGGCGCAATATGTCATCACCGTGTCCGGCAGTCCCTCAATTTGTGCGGCGCATCATGTGCACGAGAGGACGAATTCGATCGAATTTCAGCTTTCTGCGACTCTTCGTTCTGGAGTTATCCCCCACCCCACCCACCCCCACATTGCTGAAAACCTTTTGAACTTGGTAGAGCCAACATTTTGTTAACGATTTTGTTTTCAGTTTAAATTTGGTTACGCATTTTGCTCATGAACCTCAACTTTCCATGTATAGCCCATTTGCCGAAAACCCTGTTTCAAATTTAGATTGGAGCCACGAGAGAACGAACCCTATTGATATTCAGCGTTCTACGACTTTCTTTTTCAGATTTTTTTCAAATTTGGTTTGAAGCATTGTGGTTATTCAATGTACCGTGAAATTAAGAAATAAACATACAGTCATAATGACTCCCTCGTTTTGTCGTGACTTTTACTTTTCGACTTACATTTTGGCTTGTGTAGCGTGATGTCGACGTTCAACTTCGTCAAAAAATTGTATGTATCAAAACACGCATACAAGCCAAAATGCAACTCGAAATTAATAAACCGCGATAGTAGCGACCTATTATTTTGGCTTAATGTCGTGCTTTCGACAGAGTTACATGCCATGGGTGTTATTTCATTTACTATAACAATGAACTTTAATTAATAGTTTATCACCTATTGTCACGATAAAGGGATGAGTTGTTTTGTATATGAGTAATGTAGTAAATAATAAAAAAAAAATACCCTGTGGTTGATTAAGCTGACACATTATTTAACATCTAGAGCCGAATTGTTATATAATCCGCGCTCTGGTTGCTGTGAGTGATAAGCCATTGAAACAGTCTGTTACGGCGACTTCTTGGCGTGTCATGCACGGAACTGTGGGTAAACCACTAGACACGCCAACGCTGATTGATTAACCAATGCCTGACGCCATAGGGTCAAAAGCCGCCGGTACGACCGCTGACACGACCTTCGAGTACAACTTGTCAGATCATCATGTAGTGTAGGTCATAGAAAGTATAAAGAAAACGAAACGAAATGTAGATTTGTGTTTTAATCAGATTTGATCAAACCTGGGATGGAACCCATGACTTGTAGAGATAACAGGTCTTACGATATATAGCGCGCACGTTAGACCATTTGCACAAAACCACCCCAAAGGTGGTTGAGGGCGGACCTGGCCAAGTTAAATTGTCATTGTTTATGGAAGCCATTGTGTTGATCGAGGCAGTTCCTGACAAGGAACGGGATCTAGTCGTTCGGATATTGACTTAAATTATCAGCATATTCCCTTTACGTTATCTTTTTTTAAAACTATTATAGTGAGAACTGCCAGCTCTGTGTCTAATTTTCCATAATGCCCCTTTAACCGATCACTTTTCCCAAGTTACAATTCACGCCTTTAGATCCGGGTAATTATATGTTCAATTGAAAATTGTTTGAAAAACAATTAGCAATTCGCATTATCTTAATTGATTTTCACAGGATCTACAAATAAATAAAAAATGTGTATTCATATCTCCACAAATTTTAGTAATTATTGAGAAGCAACCATGTTGTCTCTATTAATCTCTATGGTATTTGCTGTTAGTATTCCGGGAGGTCTTTCTGAAAAATATTTTTTCTTCAACAGTACAGAAGATCTTGGAGTAGTTTATGTGACCGATGTTGGCTTTGATTGCTATACGCTGCTGAGGAATTCAAGGTATGTATACGTGTATTGAAAAAAAAAAAAAACGCCCGATGCAACTTATCTCACACACTTATCGGGTACAGGGTATGTCTGAACTCTCTAATGGTCATTATTTTAAGGTCCGCGTTTTACCAAACTAATAAGCGTTTAAGTCACTAAGTGGTTGTGTTATATTCTTTCTTATTTTGGGACGACCGTGGTTTTGAGGATCGAGAAGCAGAATGTCAAAGATTCGAATTCCGGCTCGAGTCAAGCACGATTCTGAGTTGTCGGGTTAAGACTATTGAGCTATTATGGAAAGAGTGTACAGCCATTCGCCCATAATGATAGTGCACACCAGAGGTCCACCATTGACAGTTAGAAGTAACAAAAAAATTAATTCAGGGCAAATTATCCGTACCCTCACGCAACCGCGTTTTTTTTCTGAAACTGGACTCATATGAAGGGTACACGATGTTGTCCGGTTAATATCACGTGGCAGGATTTAAGGCATAGTTTGATAGCTCCGAATCCAAATCTTTCCAAAATTTTGTCTCTTTCGTACAGATTTTCAAATCCGAATCCAGATAGGTCTACGGGAAGCGTGGAATCTGAGTGGTGGCAGGTATGCATTCTGCCAATTCAAACTTCTGGACAATAATAGAGCATGGCGATCTAGGGTTTAATCACACCCGGATCCGTAATACCGTTTGCTTGTGACTCGAATCAGGAAAGAATCTAGACATAGATTCTGGGCGTCGAAACATGTGCTCAATGTATCTGACTGTGCTGTGTTTCTGTGCTGTTTAAGCATTTTATGTTAATTTTAGTGAAATTGAAAACGTATTAGAAGTAACGATAAATGAACTGGACGGAATGATCGAGTCTTGTAGTGATGGAGAAGCTAACAGTAAAAGAAAACGAGCTGTCATTAACATTATAGCCCCAGGTGATTTTTAAAATAATTTTAAAGGAGCTTAATCTCCATTCTTTGGAACTTGAAGTGGAAGTGGACGAAAATGGGCTACAAAGCACGTATAAATTTAATATTTACATTCATTTTTAATTTTTCTTTAATTGAAATATATAGTCAGTTTTGTTCGTTGAAATACCCGGGCAGTCCAGATTGACTAGCAGTCGCTCCCGTCTGGTTAGTCCAGTCTACATCGGAGATTTGACTCACGATTATCCTCCTTACAGCGCCGTATTGCAAATGGCACTCGAGGGTATAGCGTACAAGACCTCGTCGGTTCATTTTAAAATTGTTTATTGTGTCTTTAATATTGGATATTATCATCGCCAATTTTCACAGTAAGATAACAACATCATTATTGATTGGAATGGACCAATATATAGTGTTTGAAATGTCAAAAACTCAGGATAATATTGCGTTAGAGCTATAAGCCTTTAAATATATTGTAGGGCTCGTAATTGTATTCCATTTCCATTCGACTATTATCGTTTTATTGGGCGAAATTCCCACCTTTTCTAGTTAACAAAGTATTTTCTTGATGTAAACAGTTGAATTCGTGACAATGGGATTTTCATCTTCCAAATGAACATTAAGTTGTCTAAAAGTTATGCAGATATTC